AGCAAATAAACCTAGGTGCGCCCATAAGAATATTGCCTAACCGCATTGTAATCTAGAAAAACCCAATTCAAAACAATTACTACATAGGATGAGCAATTAGATTTGATTGTCTAACCCCCGGGAAAGAACTATTCAACCCGGTTGTCACCTATTCAAGTGCGAATACAATTACGAATATTCTACCTGAATTGACTTTAGATTATCAGACTAATTTAAATATCGGTACCAAAATATTCAATCAATCTAACAATCAAAAACGCTATTCTCAGAATTAGACAAATATTGATAATAAAAAAAAACTTTTATAAAGAAAATCAAGAATCTCCAAAACAAAAGAACCAAAACATTATCACCCCTCAAACCAGAAAAGTATCTACTCCATAATCAAATAACAAAGATTAAAAGAGAAAGATAAAGTCATAGTGGGAGGGGGAAATCTTCTCTGGATTTTAATGGACAATTATAAAAAAATTTTACATGATAAAATTTCTCATGATAAAGAGAAATTTGGATGAATTCTTAAAATTATTATTATTATTGCTATTCTTCTTCTTCTTCTCGTTTCGTTGTTGTTCATAATATATAAGTGATAAAAATATGATAATATTTATTACTATTATTTTAAATATTTAATAAAAAGTAATAATTTAAAAATAAATTATATTAATAATTTATTATCAACTTTTTTTGAAAATAAGTATTATTATATTATAAATATAATATTTGAAAATTACTATTATCATAATAAATATGTATTACTGTTTTTTTTAATTATCGAATACATTGTATTGTCGGTAAAGTTAACTAAATATATATATTTTTTCTTCGTTGAACCGTTAGTTATATTTATTTACTTTTTACTTTTTAATTTTATTTCTTATACAAAATATTAAATGCAGTTTTTTATTTTTGGTGTGATTTTTTTGTAAAATATTTTGAATAAATATTTTTTTGAGATATAAGAAATTATGCATATAATATAAAAATAATCAATGTCTGTGATATATTAATTTTTTAATCTATATATTTATATTTTTACAAAATTTATATACATAAGAATAATAATAACTAATATAAAATAAAATAAATTGAATGATAATATAATCAAAATTATAAAATTAAAAATATAATATTCAAAATACTAGTATTATATATGTTACAATATTTCTATATCATTAATAATTATATATTATTTATTAATATTACCTATATTTTATAAAATATAATAAGATATAATAAATATATTATATTTGTAAAATTTGTGTTTACATAAGTTTATATAATTATATAAATTAATAAAAAAATATTTTACAATTCTACAAAATTTATATAAATCAATAAATAAATCCAATCAAATCTATAAGAATACATCTAAATCAATTAATAAAATCTATCCAACTCTGCGTTGACTATGTAGACTTTCTAAATCCACGTAAATTCATAAATTTTTTAAAATTAAAAAAAATCAATGAAATCCCAAATAAATAGACCCCTAAAAAAAATTATGTTTGATTTGATATTTTATATTTAAAAAATTAGTAAGGCATTTATTTTTTCTATATTAAAAAAAAAATCAAAAATTAATCAAAAATCAAAACTCATATACTAAGCTAAATTGTAAAATTATTTTTCAGTATTTCGGCGTAAAATATTACTCCCCCTCTCTTGGGTAATTTATCATATTTAGATTAGACACATAGTTTTAGGTATTGTGTAATTAATAATTAAAAAGTGTATTAGTAAAAATAATTATGAATTAGTAAAAATAATTATGATTTAATAAAAATAATTTACACAATTCCAGTCTCATATTAAATTTTTACGTTCGGATAATGGTGCCAAATTTAATCTTGCACCCTTTTATATTGAAACTGGCATCATTCATCAACAATCATGTGTTGCAACTTCTAAAAAAATGTTGTTGTTGAACGCAAACATGACAATCTTCTTGTTGTAGCACGTGCCTTGCTTTTCCACAGTTCAGTTCCCCTTAACTTTTGGGGATAGGCTGTTCTCACCGCCACACATCTTATCAACCATTTGCCTAGTCGAGTTGTCAACTATGCCACCCCATATTCTCTTCTCCATCGTGCTCCACCAATATATACCCACATTCGAACATTTAGTTGTCTAGCATATGCTTCCACCATTCCAAGCTATCGAAATAAATTCGACAGCCGTACTTGTGCTTCCGCTTGTGTTTTTGTGGGATAGCCAATAGAAATAAAAGGGTACAAATTATATAACATTGAGGCTAGGTGTTTTTATGTGTCTAGAGATGTCATTTTTCATGAGGATATATTTCATTTTCACAAGCTAATCAGACCTGCCAGTCACACACCGCTCTCTCAGCCTGTCCTCTAAATAATGACACCTTAGATTCACTTCTTCCTATCCATCCAAAAAGCTCTATGGTTCCTAGTCCAGAAATTTCTCTGTTAATCCTTTCCACTACCTCAGTGTCAAACGATCCTTTTCCCTTCGATCCAGACCAAGTGGTGCAGGTTGATCCATTACTTAAACAACAGAATGCGACACATAGTTCTGCTTCCGAATATCCTTTGCATAATTGTGCATCTCCACAAGTTGCTTGCAATACCAGGCCTTCTAGAAATAAACAACTGTTTTCCCATCTCTCAGACTATATTCTTGACCTCCCAACTGCACCATCATCCTTATATAAAGCCACCATTTCCTGTCCCTTGCTCCTACCTGAGCCTAATTCTTTTACGACTGTTGTGGCACATCCGGAATGGATTAAGGCAATGCATTCTAAGTTGAAGGCCCTACATGAGGATCACACTTGGGAGGTAGTTCCATTTCCATATGGTCAATCAACCATCAGGTGCAAATGGGTTTTCAAAACAAAGGTACGGGCTGATGGTTCCCTAGAACGATACAAGGCGCGATTGATGGCGAAATGTTACAATCAACGTGAAGTTTTTGATTATCACGAAACATTCAGTCCTATGGTATGTCATACTACTGCTCGTCTTGTTTTTGCACTTGCTGCGTCTTAGAATTGGTGGCGGGAACAACTGGATGTTCACAACGTCTTTCTCAATGGCGACTTGGATAAAGAAGTGTATATGGAATTGCCCGAGGGGTATCAAATGCTGATTGGAAATACTATAAATTCCCAATATGTTTTCGATTAACTAAAGCATTATATGGACTGAAATAATCTTCACATCAATAGAATGCCAATTCTATTGAGGCATTGATTCGTATTGGGTTCAAGCAGGAGAAGACAGATGCTTCATGCTTCTTGCGTATCTTGGAGGGTGAAATTTTTTGATTATTTTAGTTTATGTTGATGATCTAATTCTTGGTGGTAATTGCAGAAGGAGCATCGATGATACCATCTTCATCATTCAGAAATAATTCAAGTTAAAGCTGCTTGGAAAACCTCGATTGTTTATGGGTGTCGAACTGACCTAGAGTTCAAATGATGTAACCTTATGCCAACAGAAGTATCTCTCCAGCTTACTCAATGGTCATGGATGCATGCAAGGGAATCCTATTCCACTCCTATGGAAGTGCAACATCATCTCAGCAACGACGACTCACTAGAGCTTCCATATGCTGCAACATATCGCAAACTTATTAGAAAGTTGCTCTATCTCACTTTAACAAGAGTTGATGTTACATATGCCGTGCATGTATTATCACAGTTCATGCACAAACTGCGATATGCACATATGATACTTGAAGTGCAACCCGAGTAAAGGATTGTTCTTTCCCACTGAATCTTCTTTGGAGATAGTAGGGTATTCAGATAGTGATCGGGGAGCTTATCGTGAGCCACGCCGATCAGTGACTAGATTTTGCATCTTCTTGGGTCGATACTTAATTAGTTGGAGATCAAAGAAACAATCTGTGGTGGCAAGAAGCTCGACTGAAACAAAGTATCGCGCTTCAGTGACATGTGTATGTGAGGTCGTGTGGATTTAAAAAATATTGTCGTAACTGGGGGTGAAAGGTTCTAGCACACCTCGAATTCTCAGTGATAATCGTGGTGTGATTCAAATCAGTTGGAACCCCACTCATCATGATCGAACTAAGAATTTTGATCTTAATTTGCATTTCGTTCGTGAAAAGGTGCAGGCCAACCTATTTCAAATTAAGTTTTTATTGACAAAGGATCAATTGACTGATGTTCTGACCAAAGGATTATTGAACCATTCTTCCATAATTTGATGTCCAAAATGTGTGTTGAGGATCCCACGTACATTTTGCAGGGGGTGTTAAACACGTGACCAACTCATTACTGGAGGAAAACATCTATTAACAACCTAACCAACTCTGTGTTCCACTACTAATTTGTTATAACTGATTTATTCTTCTGCATCTTACAGTAGCTTCCTGTTCTGTATATAAGTTTTGTATTCTCCATTTGTAGAAATTGAGATCGTTGAACATTATATCCAAAATTCTCTGAAATCCCTCATTCTACACTATTGTTCTGCGCTTGTTCCATTCTTTTATTTTCTGTTTTGGGTGTGTTTATCAACAAAAGTACGCCCCATATTCAAAATTTAAAAAGAACCCATATTCAAAATTTAAAAAAAACAAAGAACAATAAAACATCAGCGTGGCTAAAAGGAATCCAAGCAAAGCATTTATGCAATCTTATCATTTACAAGGTGATATCTACAATAGAAACTACAATTGTAGAACATCTACAACAACATCATAACCCAATCTACACTAAGTAAAATGCAAACATTCCAACTACACTGAATAAAATGCAAAACATTCCAACTACAAATTGTAAGTATGTTGTGTAATTGATTTGTGTACCTTTTTGAATAAATAGCCAAAATAAGGTAGAAGAAAATGAGTTTCAATTAGCCTAAATCGTTTGTGAAAAAACTAACAGAATATCGTACAAAAATAAGGTAAAGATAATGACCTCCAATTAGTTTAAATTGTTCCAATTAGGCTAAATTGTTTCTCATTTTTCCATAATACAGGTGTTACATCCGGTGTTGGTGCAGGTGTTGATGGGAGGGAGTGATTAGATGGCGCAACTCAATCCGTGGAGTGTGGTGGTGCGACAGAAATTTTCTAGTCTGAAAAAATTTATGGTCAAAAATCATAATTGAGAAATTGAACGATGCAACGGCGGTTATTTAAGAAATCCGAGTGGTGATCGTAGAAGTATTGGATGGTGCAGCTGTAGTCTAGAAAATCGAGTTGATTGGTGAGTGAAGGAAAGAAGGTAATAAAAATTGATTAAGAATGATAAATTTATAAATTCACGTGTATATATATATATTAAATTAATGAACTAAATTAATGAATGAATGAAAATAGATCCCACATTCAAAACTATATATATATATATATTAAAACATAGCGTGATTGAACGAAATCTAAGTGTAAATATATATATATATATACATATAATAAATACTATTAACTAATAAAATAATAAAAAAAAAAATCTTTATGGTAAAATTTTTAGTTTAATTTTAATTAATTGATTGAAGGAAATCTAAGTGTAAATATATATATATATATACATATAATAAATATTAACTAATAAAATAATAAAAAAAATAAAAAATACCTTTATGGTGTCCTAATATTATTATAGGATTAGCTAATAAAAATATTAATTATTTTTACCACTAACCACTATTTTATATATTGTATATAATATGTATATAATAGATAATATATATATGTATATATATCAATATGTATATTGTGTGGGTGCGTGTATATTAAATCTATGAATATAAATATATATATATATGGTATATATATGTATGTATGTATGATATGTATATTCATGCGTCTAGAAATGTGATGGTGATTTAGACATTTAATGCTTTTAATGAGATAAAAAGTAAATACGAGATACAATGAGAGAGGGAAATAAATAGAATTTTATGTGTGTCTTATTTCATTCATTCATACTCATATTTATAGTGAATTTAAGATTCAATGAGTGGTAATTAACTTGCCACAATGAATACATATATCACCTGCGTGGATAGTAATAAAATGGATTCACCTAGTGTACACGTAACAATAATGTGTATAACAATCCCCTTTGGATGCTTTTGTAAAAAGAATATGCCTCGTTAAAACCCTCTTAGGAAAAAACATTGTGGGAAAAACCCTAATGAAGGAACAAGAGTGTACCATTCTTGCATTGATTCTCCCTCTGATTTTAGCATTATTTGAGATCCCTGAACCGACGCATTCTAATTTTCTTTACCAATTTTTCAAATATTGCAGCCGGCAGTGCGTTGGTTAATATATATGTCAAATTATTATTTTATCGAATCTGTTGCACATTAATTTCACCATTATGTTGAAGATCATCAGTAAAAAAGAATTTTGGTGAAATATGTTTTGTTCTATCTCATTTGATGTAACCCCCTTTCAATTGGGTTATACAAGCCGTATTATCTTCATTCAATGTAGTTGGAGAAATTTTATCATCAGACATTAACCCGCAATTTTTTAGAATATGTTGAGTCATTGACCTCTACCAAACACATTCTCGACTAGCTTCAAGTATTGCCAATATTTCAACATGATTTGAAGAAGTGACAGTTAAAGTTTGTTTCATCGATCTCCAAGAGATTACAGTTTTCCCACAAGTAAATATATAGCCAGTTTGAGACTTGACTTTATGAGGATCAGATAAATATCCTGCATCGGCAAAACCAATCAATTCATGTCGAAAATCTTTCGAGTAACATACCCCGAGATCAATTGTTCCTTGGAGATTGCGAAAAATGTGCTTAATCTCATTCCAATATCGTCGAGTATGCGATGAGATGATTCTTGCCAATAAATTTTCAGCAAATGATATGTCAGGTCGGGTGCTGTTAGCAAGATACATCAATGCGCCTATAGCACTCATATATGACACTTCTGGGCCAAGTGTTTCTTCATTTTTCTCTTTTGGTCTAAATGGATCCTTTATTAGATCAAGTGCTCTGACGATCATTGGGGTACTTAGCGGATGTGATTTATCCATCAGAAACTGTTTCAGTACCCTTTTGGTATAATTTGATTGTGGATAAAGATTCCACTTTTCAAATGCTCAATTTGCAAACCAAGGAAAAATTTGATTTTCCCAAAATCTTTGATCTCAAACTTTTTTTTTTTTTTTTTCAGATATTCAACAGCTTTCCTAATTTCATTAGGAGTTCCAATTAATTTGAGATTATCGACATATACAACAATGACTACAAATTCTGACCCATTTTTCTTTATGAATACACATGGACATATAGGGTTATTTATGTAACCTTTTTTTGTTAGACTTTCGCTGAGACAATTGTACCACATTCGGCCCAATTGCTTAAGCTCATACAAAGATTTTTGCAATTTGATAAAATATGATTCTTTTGGCTTTGATTTGAATGATTCAGGTATGTTGAACCCTTTTGGGATTTTCATATAGACATCATTGTCCAAGAAACCATAAAGATAGGCAATAACCACATTCATTAATCGCATATCAAGATTTTCGCGTACTGCCAGGCTCACCAAATACCTGAATGTTATTACATTCATGACCGGTGAATATGTTTCTTCAAAATCAATGTCCGATCTCTGGGAAAAACCTTGGGCTACATGTTTTGCTTTATATCTTGTGATGCCATTATTTTCATTTTTGTTTTCTCACAAACACCTACATGTGGCCAACAGGTTTTACATTTATAGGTGTTTGGACTATTGGGCCGAATACTTGTCGTTTATTCAATGAGTCCAATTCAGACTGAATTGCGTCTTTCCATTTTGCCCAATAATCTCTTTGCCGACATTCATCAACTGATTTTGGTTCATAATCCTCGTCAATTTTTATTATATCGAGTGTTAAAGAATATACAAATGCATTATCAACATTTGTTTTCTTTTTGTTCCAATATTTTTAATTAGTGGTATAGTTAATAGAAGTTTCAATAACTTCATCCTCACTTTCATCAGGATTTTTAGTATCAACCTCTTCAGGGGTTGTACTTATTTTTTCAGGTATGCGATCATTTTTGATATCTTCACCAGTATTTACAATTTTCTTCTTTCGTGGATTCTTATCCTTGGAACTCAACGGTCTGCCACGTTTTACACGTGGTAGTATGCTCATTAGCACTCGGAACCTTTCCTTCTGGGATATTTTTATTAGCTGGTGTATTTTCTGCTGTAATATATGATTTCATAACTCTGGCAGGATCATTAAAAGTACCAGGCAATTGATTTACAGTTTTTTGCAAATGCACAATTCTTTGAACTTCAAGTTCATTATATTTCGTACGAGGATCAAATTCAAGTGGTATTTTCCACGAAATTTCTTTTTTCAGTTGATTACTGTCTCCCCTTAATGTCGGGAAATGAGATTCATCAAAGTGACAGTCTGCAAACCTTGCAATAAATAAATCACCAATTGTTGGTTCAAGATATTTTACAATCGAGGGTGATTCATACCTGACATATATACCTAAAATTTTTTTAGGTCCCATTTTTGTGTGTTGGGGTGGTGCAATTGACACATAAATAGTACACCAAAAAATTCGTCGATGAGATTTATTTGGTACTTTTTTAGATACCAATTGTGAGGGGTAATAACATTGATAACTTGTCAGCCTTATTTTTACGAGGGTTGCTGCATGCAATATGGTGTGTCCCAAAGCTGATACGGAAAGCTTAGACCTCATTAACAATGGTCTAGCAATTAATTGAAATCTTTTGATAAGGAATTCAACGAGGCCATTTTGCGTATGTACATGGGGAACATGATGTTCCATAGTAATCCCAATTGACATGCAGTAATCATCAAATGTATGTGATGAATACTCACAGGATTATCTAAACGTATTTTCTTTATAGGGTGATCTAGAAATTATGCTCGCAATTTAATTATTTGTGCAAGTAGTCTAGCAAAAGCTATATTGCGAGTACATAACAAACATACGTGTGACCATCGCGTTGACGCGTCAATTAGTACCATAAAATACTTGAAGGGTCCACACAGTTGATCTATAGGTCCACAAATATCACTCTGAATTCTTTCCAGAAAAGTTGGGGATTCAAATCCTACCTTCGTTGGAGATGACCTGATTATTAACTTCCATTGGGAATAGACAACACAAGCAAATTCATTTGGACTCAAAATATTTTTCTTTTTCAATGAGTGGCCATTTGAATTTTCAACAATTCGCCTTAACATTGCATTGCTAGGATGCCCAAGTCAATCATACCAAGTTTTAAATTCTCTAGTAGCCATTTGGTCTACTAGTTGATATGTTTCAATGACACTGACTTTTGAATAACACAGGCCAGAAGAAAATGATGACAACTTTTCTTTCACAATTCTTTTGCCATTCACAATCTGAGTTATCAAGAGATATTCATTTTCTGTCTCATTCAATGTTTCAATATGATACCTATTTTTTTGAAAATTACTGAAGCTAAGTAAATTCCTTCGAGCTTTGCTCGAGAACAAGACATTTTCAATTGCAAATTTTATCCCTTTAGGGAGAAATACAATAGCTTTCCCTGAGCCTTCGATCATTTTTTATGCACCACTGATAGTAACAGTAGTGGTCTTTCCCATATTGGGAGAAATAACTTTTATTTTTCATAATGTTGTGAGTCGTAGCACTGTCTATAAATCATGTATTATCATCGGCTCCAAAATATTTGGCATCCGTATATTTGCAATAAGGTAAAAAATAGAAAAAGACATATATTAGTAACATAATCAAAATAGATTTATATTATAAGGGGTAATACAAAAAGGGAGGGACAGAAAGCATCAAAATAACAGAAGAGATACAACAATATTTTATCATTTAACATCATCAGCTATGTCAAGCAGATCATCCACATCTAGGTGCGTGATATTTTCATTCATCGCATCATTAAATGTGACATCGGACAACGTGGTTTGTTTCGGCAACAACTTTTCTTTGCCTTTCTTTTGAGGCCTGATACAATTCAGCCAAGTAACTGGTTGTGCGACAAATATAGACCCAATGGCCTTTGATTCCACACCGGGTGCATTCTTCGTCATTGTTTCTGTTTCTACCGGTGTTGAACCTCTGATGAGGTCTGAACGGCCTTTTGTCAATATAACGCCAATTTCGCACATATC